TCTCTCTCTCTCTCTCTCTCTCTCTCTCTCTCTCTCTCTCTCTCTCTGCCTCATGCTTGTGGATCAGGATGTATGGTCTCCACTACTGCTCCAGCACTATGCTTGTCTGTCTGCTGCTATGCTTCTCACCATGATGGCTATAGACTCACCCTCTGAAGCTGTAAGCACCCATTAAATGCTCTCTTCAGTAAGTTGCCTTTGTCATGGCAATAGCAAACTAAGGAATATGGCAAATAAATTCTAATAGCATGACAGGATTGTGGATTTTTTTTATTTTTTACAGCACTTCTTTATTGTTCTTGTTTTAATGTCTTCAGTCAATTTTTCAAAGGAAGGGAAATGTACTAACTAGAAAGGTATTTCAGTCAGAATTCTAACAGAAGATGAACTTACTGAACTTAGGATCAAATGAGAAAGTTTAGCAAGGGAACTAGGTTCAAGTTCTAGGCAGGTTAGTGCAGTGCTCTGAAAATAGTTTCCCCAAAGTCTTGAATTGTTGTGAGGAAAGTATAACTGTAAGAAACGGTATGCTACCTAGTTGAGATATGGAGTTATCACACAGAGGCAGACATCATGGGGAGGAGCCAAGAAGTAATTCCAGTGTCCCCCTTCTTTCTTTTCCATGTTCTCCCAATCATCCCCATTAGTCAAGCCAAGCCAGAGGACAGGAAACTTGTGAATCTTAATGTAATCCACGTGGACCTTCTGGGGGTAGAGTGCTGGGTGGAGAGAGGAGTAGAATGGGTTAGGATAAGTAGACCAAAGCCACCTGGCATTCAGACCTCAATTATATCGTTTGCAATTATATCGCCTTTGGTTTCCAGAACCTCCAGATTCATACATAGCACGTAGACAAGCCTATTTATAAACTATATGTTTTCAGGTTCTAATTTATAATATCTAGGATTGGATGCATGGATAATTATGGTTGAGTTCCATTAGAATAGCATGATTAGTATGTAGAAAAATCTTGAGAAAGATTAGAATCAAGGAGTTATTGACAATTGGAAGAAACTTATGCTGCCGAAAGTAATAAAGCAGGTTAGAGAGAGAAGGGGCAGGAGTTAGAAACTCTGTAGAAACCTTTCAGGACAAGGTTTCAGAAAAAAACAACAAAAGGCGTTAGAACCCTGAAGTGTAAGGTGTTTGTTAGCGGGGTATGGTGGTGTATACCTGTAAGCTCAACTCTTTGAAAGCTGCAGATTAGAAGTTGAAGGTCATGCTTAGATAGATAGATATAGAGAGTTATCTCAATAAAACTGAGAAAGGGGAAATGAAAATTTACTTCATTTTTTTTTTACCAAGTACTAACTTTTTGTCTAGTCATTTAATCAACTCATTACTGTGTCTTTGCGTGCCGTAGTCATTATTATCTCTGCAAACCAGAAGGTAGACAAGTTAGTCCATAAAGTCATGAACTGGTGAGAGCTACCTGAGCATGGAATCAGGTGATCTGAGCCCTAGACATTGTTTCCTAGAAGGTAAGAAAAGATGAGGGGGCTGAACTGCAAAATTCCAATGGAAAGGGTATTTTGGTGATGAGGAAAGGGAATGCTTGATGGTTGTAAAGTCAAATACTGGAAGGAAGAATAAGAGGAGTTCTGAAATGAATTATTTTATATAGCCATTTCCCATTGTTTTTAACTAGTTAATACAATCTGAATAGATAATATATGCTTTTGGTGTATTTGCCCTTTCACTTGTTCTTTTGAGGCAAGTCCTCCACTTAAACTTGTTCTGTAGCCCAAGTTGTTCTGGTCTAGTGATCTTAGCCTCCTCAGTGACAGAATTAGAGGAATTAAAGGTTTTCCCCCTGAGACTAGATTTGAAATCTACAAATGCTTTTTGAAAAAATTGTATTTTTGTTTTGAGTGCTGTTTCAAATTTCTATCACAAGCTTGTTTTCTTTTGGCTTTCTTTGAGTTTTTTTTTCTTAAATTTTTTTAAGTGCTTCAAAGGTTTGTCTTTTGTAGAGTCAGATAAGTTAATTGCTGGCTTCACGAATGTGTCTATTGTTAAGGTCACAGATACCAATGTGGTGTTTTTAAGGGAATTGAGACCCAAGCTGCTGAGAATCATTCCCTTCACATATGCAGACAAGAAGCAGCATGTGTATTAACAAACTGATTGGAAAAGGAGTTATATCTCACACGCTCAAACATTTGACTTGGGAGCCATCAGGCATTAAACCGCTACCACATTAGAGTGCAGTAAAAAGGCAAATTTAAGAAATTCCTGAAAAGATGATTTCTCCCATGATCTGGTGATGGTACAGTAAATTCTTAGTTTCAGAGTATAGATGCCATTTCAAGTTAAGTATATGCAATTTAAATTAAAGATGCTCAGATGTTAGCTGGCTGCCACAGCATATTGGCAACAGCATGTGTTTGAACTAGAGCAGATAATTCAAATGGCTCGTTATCCACTTACATTCTGATCGTCTATGAGGTGGCTTTTCTCTGGGCAGGCTCAGCATGCTCTCAGGGGAGGTTTATAGATTCCGAATTCACAGAACAGAGAAGGCAGTTGCTTGACAGTGGTAATTCATTCAACCCGACCCACCTTGGCTCCACGTAGCTGTAGCTCTTTATTCAGAAAACCCAACTTGCCTCTAGCAAATGACGCCTGAGCTTGGGTCCAGCCTGGGCGTTACAGTTACTGAGGTTGTATAACAAATTATCCTCAGATATATGACCAATAAGAAGAAGGAAAATGTGTTATCTTTCATGTTCTGAGGGCTGATGAGGCTCATTAATCTAGACGGACTTTGCTTGAGATGTCTTATGAATGGAGTCAGTGTAGCTGGTGATGGGGCCATCTTGGAGGCTTCTTTATTTACCTAGGAGATAGTGATAGTGCAGGCTATCCGCTGGGGTCTCAGCTGAGGGCTGGTGGCTGGAAAACCTACATATGCTGTGTCCACGTGCCTTTCGGGCTTGCTCATAGGCTGCTGCTAAGTTCAGCTACCCCAGGAGGAGCAGTTTCGGTTTGATCTTCTGTGTGACCTCGGCTTAAAAATCACAGTGTTACAGATGGAGAGAGATCCTGGTGGTTACGAATGCTTGCGGCTCTTTCAGAGGACTCCAGTTTGGTTCTCAGTATGCATGTTTGACTATAACTCTAGCTCCAGGGTATCAGAAATTTTATTTTGGCCTTCACAGGCACTTGTGTACACACACACACACACACACACACACACACACACACACACACTAAAACTAAATCTTAAAGAAAAGAAGAGAACACAGCGTTACTTGTCTTGCAGTCTGAGGCTTGTCCAGAGTTGGGGGTAAAAAGTACCTTTCAAGACAACTGATAAGGTCACATTGCAAGAACATGTGGAACAGGAAATCATGCTGTACTCTCTTGGCAAACACAATCTGCCTAACTGGAGATTTTTTTTCTTTTTTTTTTTGGTAGAAATACCCCTACATAAATCTGTGAAACTACAAAGTCATTTCTCAGTTTTGTTGCCAGTTTTCTTTCAACAAGCTTTAACTCCCAACTTGCAGGTCCTCCTTGCAAGCCAGAATTCCATATTGCTCCAGGCCTACAGCGTGGTATACTTAGGTAATGAATAGCCCAGGAAGAAGCTCTTTTCCTATGTAGGTTATCACCTTATCAGAACTGACCTTTCTGGCACACGGACAGAAAGGTAGATCCTTACCCATGAATGGCTGGAATGTGACTGCCTATTGTAAATCACCCATGTAACAGGCGTGAGTTTCTCTTCTGAGAAGAAAGAGGGCATTCTTAGCCAATATGACCCATTTGAGGGGACTTTTAATACTTTGAGGCCAAAATAGCTATAAGAGTCGTGGTGGACAACCAACTGTTTTGAGTAGGCAGGTGACCTATGTGTCAGGATTGTAGGACAGACAGTCTTTCTGTATTTTTACAATTCAAGAGATTTACACCAGCATTGAGTTCTAAACAAACACTGTACTAGATGCTTCAAAAGAAATAGATATTCTACACTGTAGGTTGTCACCATGGACATCAGTGAGCAGAATTCCCATGAGATACTGCCTTGAATCACACATTACTATGCTGTGATTAAATAGAATTGCATCGTATTAGTTGCTTTTATGTTGCTCTGACAGAAAAAAAAAAAACCAAAACTCGGCAACTTTGAGGAGAAATGTCTTATATTGAATTGTAGTTCCAGAAAGGACATTGTCCAATGTTATGGAAGAGGCATGGCAGAGAGAACATGAGGCCAGTCTAGCAGCCTGGAAGCTGGCTGACCGTGTTTTTTTCTGCACCAAGGAGAGCAGAGAGAATGTTAAGAGTTACCTTTATGACCTGGAGTCAGGTCATAAAGCCTCAGAGAGCTTGTCCTCAGTGATGTACTTCCTCCTAAAGGTTCCGGAATCTTCAAGCAGTACCCCCAATGGAGAACCAAGGGTTCACCTATGTGAACCTGTGGGGATATCTCTCACCTAAATAGCATGTGTTATCCTTCTATATACTGACATTTTGGTGTGAGAACATACATTTATTGTGTTGGCTAAGAAAACGGAATACCAGATACATAATCTTTGATGAAAGAAAAAGAAGGTAAGAAACTTGGTGGAAAGAGCCCACTTACAAGTGGGCTCATGTAAGAAGGCGTAGATAACCTTCTACATCACCTGACTCTGGGACCAATCTACCTTGACTGAAATTTTTCTCTCCTGCTTACTAATAATATAATCTTTTGTAAGCTTCTTTGCTTTTTGATGCTTCATTTTCATCATTTGTAAAGTGTAGCTAGCAATGCTAAACAGCTCATAGTTTCTTCGAATATTAATTAAATGAAATGCTGGTCAAATTAGCCTGGTACCAAGCACAAAGAAAATATAATTTATGGCTCTTAAATAACCAAGTAGATCACTTTGTCTCATATATTTTGTACTCGCTTGTCAAATTAACTAGAGAACTGGTATTTTCCTACACTGGTAATGTCAGAAAATGTTATTTTTTTTTGTAGAATTTTTTCTCTTGTCTATTATTTCATGGCTATATACTTGGAGAAACCAGATTTGTTTTTAGGTTTTTATTCTTCAAATTTTCTTAAATATGACTGGGAAATAGTGAGCAGTGCTATGGGCTTTGTGTTCTGGGAACTCATCAATTTAATATGATTCTGTTTGACAGTTTTATATTCTCCTGTTCTCCTATTCTCTGCCAGTTAACCTGTTTGCAAGGTGAAATTCTTGAACAAATTGTCTACCCAAAGTACTGCTCTATAAAATAGACAGGCCTGGTGGGTATGTATTCTGTTGAGTCATATGAATGACCAAGGAGGCAAAGGGCAGTTGGAGGACTTATTTAGAAGCATTATGAAACAGTGGCTAGTGGACAAAACATTCAGTTTGGAGATATCTGAAAATTGCTGAGAGTTTTGCTGTTCTTTCCTTTGTAAATGATGTTATTTTATTGATTGATTGATTGATAACCTTGGCATTATTTAGAACTTTGGAAAGATGTAAATCTGTTTGCTTCTCATATTGCTGAAATCTATTTGCTTAAGGCCAGAGTATATCTGGGATGTTCAGGTTCAACTGGGTCTCACTATCTTTTATGAGAATTTCAAATTTTCCCTAAGTATTCAATAGTTCTTCAAATTCTAATTCACAAAATTTTGTGTGACCCAGCTCTTATTTTTATTTTAGACATCTTCCTGCATGTTCAGAATTCTTGGTGTAGACACACAAGAAACAATGATTAACCCACACAACATATTGTCAAGTCTGATATTTCTCACTTATTTGGTTACATAATTATTGTTTTTTAGATTTTGCAAACTCCTTGTCAATAAAGACATCTTATGGAAATCTACTAGTTTGTAAGATAATTTCAAAATATAATGATGAAAAGGAAATTTGAACCTTACATGAGTGGACAATGCTACCCCCAGAAGACACGGGTTATTAAAATGAACATAGTTTCGTATGGGTCAAAGAGGACCCAGAGTACCCAAAATAACCAGAATAAAAAAGGTTATTTCCTTTGCTCTTGGTTACCCACTGTAACTAATTGGTAAGATTCTATTGTTGAAGACACCAAAACTGCAGGCCATAGAGACAGTCAGGAAACTCTCTACCTGCTGGATAGCTTCCAGATTGCTGGAAGATGCTGTGTAACCTGCTGATGTCAAAACACACCAATGACCTTACCTATCACCGGACTCTGCATGTTACATTATGGACATGTTACATTATGGCAAGCTGGGCAAGATGAACCCACTTGTGCAATAGTGGCATGTTGATTACAGAGGTAAACAACCACTTTTTGAATAAATTTGATGCTTGCTCCATAGGATTTAAGGCTTAGTACTATAAACCTGGGTAAAAATCTGCATCTGTGGAGGACCCTGACCCTAGGGAGAATCTACTGTTGCTGTTTTTCCAAATGGTCACGTAGTCATACTGTCCTCTAAACATTTTGTCTGGCATGCCAATATTGTAAGATGTGGGTTCCAGCACTGCCTAAGATCACTGATGTCTATTCTCTTTCAATTTGTGTCCATAGATTGGTGTTGTTCTCAAATTTGGCCAGAGGAGGTATTTGCAATGGGTAGACTCATAACTCATAATACAGACTCATAACTGGTTAAAGCGCTGCAAAGAAGCGACTCTGAGTGCTTATCCTTTGGTGGCTCCTTTATATCCCTACCATTAAGGCTTAGGGAATATTGTGGAAGAGGCATAAAGAATAGAAAGCCGGAGGCTGTGGAAGAGGGTAATGATAGGCTATCTTCTGGATGTAACATGTCCACTAAACATATGAAGTTACCACAACTGTGGTGACCTGCTCATGACCTGCACAATATCAAGCCAGTCAAAATTCCGGAATGGCTGGGGAAGAGGCTGCTGGGCCCTTGAAGAGCTATTAGTAGTTGATTATTGCTGAGAGAGGGAAAATCATTTTTCTTTCAGATGTGCCTCCTGTTAGATTGTTCATGCCCCAGTGCTGACAGAGGTTTCTGTCCCGCCTGGTCCTGCAGCAGTTCAGTCTCAAAGAAACACACAGAGGCCTACATTAATTATAAACTGGTTGGCCTATTAGCTCAGGCTTTCTTATTAACTCTTATATCGTACAGTAACCCATAATTCTTGTCTGTGTTAGCCATGTGGCTTGGTACCTTTTATCAGCAAGGTATTCTCATCTTGCTTCCTCTTTGTCTGGGTAACAACTGCAGACTGAGCCTTTCCTCTTCTCAGAATTCCCCCGTTCTGGTTACCCCGCCTATACTTCCTGCCTGGCTACTGGCCAATCAGCATTTTATTAAACCAATATAACTGACAAATCTTTACAGGGTATAAGACCATCGTCCCACAGCATCCCAGTGTATTAGTACCATACCCATGTACATATGGGCTTACTTGCTAATTGAATTCAGTAGGTTATTAATCATATATATTATTTAAAAGAAGGATATGAATTTGGAAAGGAAACATGTTGAAGATACACCAGAGAGCTGGCGGTAGGCAGGTGGATATGAACAAAATTACGTTGTATAAATTTTTGACATTTTCCAAGAATAAATAAGATGTGACTTAAAATAGGAAACGTGCTTATAATTAGGTTTATTGACTTTCAGGCTGGAGTTTCGGAAATGGAAGCGTGGTGCATGGCAAGACAGAGGTATCTGTCTCTTTTGTCGCTATTTTGATTTAGATTCAAAATGGCAGAAATACTTCCTTAGCCTCTTTATTGACTAGTAAATGGACCGAAAGAGTCACAGTGCGCAGGAAAACATCTTTACTCCTAATTAAAAGGAATCCTTTCTGTTCCAAAGAAACAAGAGTATAAAACCAACATCTTACAAAGGATAGTAGGAGAATGTTAACTGATGTCTGCCAAAATCTTTCCTTGCTTTATTCCGCTTGGGGTGCCAAAGGCCAATTACAACTTGTTTTGTGGCAAGATATATGTCTGAGTTAGACAATAGATGATTATACTAAAATACAAAGAATTTTTACAATAACAATTAGATCAATCTTTCAAAATTTTTGTAATGCAACTCAGTGTTTTCCTTCAAAGTCTCCAAGTTTTGTACTTACATCTCGCTGCAAGGTCCTTTCGGCACATACTCATTTAGATGTAAAACACCTTAACAATTTTAACATTTATTTATTGAGACTGGGTCTCAGTATGCAGCAGAATTGGCTGGATTGGAATGCTCTGTGTAGACCACACTGGATATGAACTCACAGACATCTACCTGCTTCTGCTTCCTGAATGCTGGAATTAGAGGCAGGCATCCATGTTTGGCCTACAACTATTAATGATTGATAGGAAAATCAAACCTTGAAAAAAATGTTGACCCTGAAAATTTAATGATTAGAAAAATTATCCCAAAATAATTGGTAAAATGTCATTTTACCAATTAATATTGTTAACTATAAAAGAGTTGGTTTTTCTGCTTGCTGAAGATATACACTTTCCCCAATGTGAAGCGAGGAAGTTTTTTTTTTTTGAGTGTTATTTCATTCAATTCAGTTTGAATGAAAGAGACAACTGCAGCTAATTACGGTATTTCTCTGCACCCTTTGTGGGAGACAAATGACCACTCCTACCTGTAGAAAATAGAAAGACTTAAGCATGGTGTTTTCATTCCTAGGTCAGGCCAGTCTAGCTTTGGCTATAAACAGAGTTAGCTGTGTTCCTGTGACGGCCATTCTTCTAGTCTGTGTCTGGGAAAACACCTTCCCTTAATATCCTGCACCAAACCTACTGAGATCCCCGTACACCAGGTGACTGTACATCTCTCCTTCATGTTCCTGCTTTTATGTTTCTTTGTGGCATTGTTTTGGAAGAGGGTTAAGAGTTATTGTTTCTAATCTCGGTCTAAATGGTTCTTGAATCTTGGTCTGATTTTGACCCTCGAAGCGCAAGTTGCAATGCCGTCTTAGCCTTTTTCTTCATGGTTACCAGATGCAAGGACTGTGAAGGTCTCCAACAAGCAACTAAGAAATTAGGATTAGCTCAGCAATGTATAGCGGTGGCTTTCAAATTTATTTTCTTCATTCTTTTTCAATGGAGAAAAATGTGTTCAATATTTGTATCTCCTTAAGGACTGGGATTGTGTCCTGTCCTTTTGTGCAATGTTCTGTGCTATCAAAAAGTGCTTATTGTAATAGGAGCATCATGAACATCACAAGGTCTGTAAGGTCAGCTGCTTCTTGAGTCCTGATGATTCTACATTCATTCTGCCCTTCTCCTTACCTCTCTTCCTCCCTCCTGTCCTGTTCTCCCTTACTCTGGGATAGTGCTGTCGAGGTTAACACACCATATTAGAGTACACGGTGGGATCGGCAAGAGACAGCAGGTGAATTTATCTAGAGCTTTCATTAGCAGTTTGCTAGAGCAACCAACCAGTTTTTTAGATTCATACCCAGGACAGATGACGCCACTGTGCCCATCCCCCAATAACAAGACCCACAACGAGGAAATGGTTAATTAAAGTTGTTGCTGGACAGGTAAAGCTTGAAATAATTTGCCAAGCCATTTGACAACGCATGAAATTTAGTTTCAGTTTTCCACCTCTAGTCTGCCTGACACAGCAGCCC